TAGTGTTGTGAGGAAAAAAATCTTTGAGGGGGGGGGGGGGGGGGGATGGGGAGGAGGATTGCTAACGTTTGAAAAAATTTATGCCCAGCAGTCACACCAAAAAAAAAAAAAGAAAACAACCCCAAACAAGAAAACCAATTAGGCCAATTAGAGCTGTCCTTCCTGGGACAGGAGCCGTCCCCAAGACACTGTCAGTGATGTGGGGAGCTGGCTGCCACTGGGGCATCTCCAGCTGGAGGCAAAACCATCCATGTCCCAGCAGTGACAGATGAGAGGCAGAACAAGAGCTCCCTAGTGCTGCCTCCCATATCATCAACCCTTCTTTTCCACAACAGCCACTCCTGTGGATGAGTAGATGAGGCCTTGCATCCATGGGTACTCATCTCTACCCACCAACCTGGAGGCCAGTTAGTGCCAGTCATAAATAAGGAGCCTGTAGTAGTCTGTAGTACAGCTCTTGTGGCTTGACATACAATTTTTTCCCCCTGATTTTATTGTCTTTAACAGCTATATGATGAGGGTCATTTATACAAGTGAGTCATCTTTTCTGCATAATAAGATAGAGTGATAGGTCTAGAGCTCAAGTAAGCATTATATGAGTTACTGTAATTCATTTTAAAATAGGACTTGATAAAAACAAGCGTATGTGACATTTACTACAAGACTATGAATAAACAGAAAGCCAGAAGGAATGGTAGGATGCGTCTGGGATTTCTGCACCACTGCAGTGGCAAGTTGAGTAGTTGATTTATCTTATAAAAAGTGTCCAGAGCATTAATGGTAAAATCAGTGTTTTCTAAAGAATATATATGTTGTCAGATCATAACTTCAGAGAGAAGACAAGGCTTTCATTTATGCAGGGTGTTCTGATAATGTAAGCCAACAAAGTTGAACCAGTTAATTTCTAAATGGCAGCAGATCCAGAGAGATATACTATGCTCTCCTGGATCTACCATTTCCTTGTGTAAAGTCAGCCTTCACTTTGAAATAGCCCCTTGTAGTTATTTTTACCATTTATGTGCTTCTGAATTAAAGACCTATATTTTGTGAGCAGCCTTGCTAGTCACTTAGATGTTCATTTATTTCTGTACCTCAGAGGAATTTTTTGGCCTCCGTTAATATTACCTGTATATATATTATGGCAGTGGCTTAAGTACCCAACTTACGTAAGTGCTAGATAAATACATAAATCACTAGGTACTGTGCAGCAAACAGGAAGAAATATTTCACATGCAGATTTACCCTGAAATAAGAAAATTGGTTTTAATTTGGATCTTGCCTTACTTTGGTGCATGTGCATATGTAATCCAGTCCTAATGGACTTTCAGGCGTATTGTCTAAAGAGAAAACAAACAAACAAACAGGATGAAAGAAAGGAAGTTTTATTCTTCTCATTCTTCAGACAGGAAATTAAAGAAATGAAAATATATGGAAGAATTGGACCCCTGGTGAGATTTCTAGATGTCTACCCAGAGACCCTAATCACAAGACTTCCTTCCTCCTCAAACATAATTATTACTATTTCCATTGCATATACTTTGGAAAGTTTTTCATGTTTCCACATGAAATACTAATTTTCTAACCCTGAACTTTCCTTTTAAGCAAAATCAATGAAAAGCTATTGTTGCTTTTACAGATGCCAAGGAGAATTATTACCATCATAGGCAACAATAAAAAAAGATATTTTCACCCTCTGTAGATTGAATTACTGAGAAATAACCTTATAATTACTGTATAAAACACCCTGTTTTAACACTGGTTTTAATATCCGTAAAGTTTCTGATTTATTTTTCACAAGCCAGCACCAATGAGCTAAATTCTGCCTTGCTCTAGGCTGGTGCAATTATGCTGACCTCCATGGGACTCCACCTGTTACGTTGATGGCTCTTAAAAGGCACGCTATATTTGGATGAATATTAGTTAGGAACAAAGAGAGAGGTCTGATTTCACTGACATTGATTTAAATAAGCAGCGTAATTTTCTTAAAATCAAAGGAAATATTTTGAACTTTTAAAGTATATCAGGTAAATCTGCTTTAAATTAGGTCTTTGTCAGACCAGTGGGGAGAAGAAGCCTGATATCGCCCAGTGTGGCATTCACCAGTGGAAATGTCAGGGAACCCTTGAGTTACAGTGAACTTGCCAAACGGACCCCTGTCCCTCGCTCCCTGCAGATCTTGGTTCAGATGCCTTAGCAACCTGCAATACTCAGCCGGCTCATCGTCTTCAGGCGAGAGGGAGGAAATTCCCCCACAGCAGACTCACGTTTGTCTCTTGCAGCTACAACCAAAAAACTGGCTCCTGGGCCCATGCAGAAGTAACAACTTCTGGTTTAGTTTACGCAGTTGATCTTATTCGCCTCCTTTAGCTGGCTGATGTTCACCAGGTCTTCTGCAAGTCAGAGCCCTTGTCTATCTCTTTGAGGTGAAACTAAGAGGATTGTTATCTGCCTGCTGATTGCCGTTGTTGAAAGAGGAAACAATACAATGCAGAATGACTGCACCCTCGTTTTGTGTTCAGTTAATACTTACTTAAAACTAGGCCATCCCTTTTCTGTTTGTCTGTTTTCTCCTGGCATGGTCAGAAAATACGCAAGTGCCCTCTGTGAAATTTCCCTTTTCAAGGGAATGTATTCAGCTTTGAGTTTGGAAAACAAACAGCACATACCTCATATTTTATAGGGAGTACTTGTTTTATTGCATGCACAAGTAATATGAATGTGATAGGTGCAGTGAAAGAGTCCTGTCTTAATTGCACTTGGGCTGGGTTCATCACAGTTTGTTGGAGGTGCATTAGAACAACAGCATTGTCTGCCTGGGTTGCCTGCAAAAACATTTTTGACCCTTGGCTTACCCCTTTTACTGTCAGAATTACCAGTAGCACCCACCAGTGCCAGTGGCTGCAAAGAGGTCTGCAGACTGCACCCTTTCCAAAGGTATATTTTGGCAAATAGTTAGGAGCATATATATATTCCTCCCACTCCAAAATGGGTGAGATTAGGAAAAAGGCACGTAAGAATGATTTCTTTGAAATGAAGTATTTTCACTCAATTTATAAAACACCCATCTGTGAGGGTGATCCATTTTACATTTCCTTTCAAGAAATCATTTTGGTCTGAACTAAATGTTTCATGTGACCTAAAATTTATTTCTTTTCCATTTTTTTTCACTCCAGGTCTGCCTGAACTGTCTTT